TGGTTCGAACTCACAAGCCACTCGGTGGGAGAAAAGACTTGGCGCTCTGCTCCGGTAAAGATTACAACCTAGGAAACCTTATGGGGCAGTTCTACTCTGTCCTACAGGGTCACTATGAGTCAGAATTGACTTTACAATAATGGATATGTAGTATAAGGAGCCCTGGTGGCGCAATAGTTAAGCGCTCCGCTGCTAACCGAAAGGTTGGCAGTTCAAACCCACCCAGCAGCTCCATGGAAAAAGACCTGGTGATCTGCTCCTGTAAAAGACTGTTGTTGTTGTTAGGTACCATTGAGTCGGTTCCGACTCATAAAACCAAACCCATTGCCGTCGAGTCGATTCCAACTCATAGCAACCCTATAGGACAGAGTAGAACTGCCCCATAGGGTTTCCAAGGAGCACCTGGTGGATTCAAACTGCTGACCTTTTGGTTAGCAGCCGTAGCACTTAACCACTATACCACCAGCGTTTCCAACTCATAGCAACCCTATATACAACAGAATGAGACACTGCACAATCCTGTGTCATCCTCACAGTCATTGCTATGTTTGAGCCCATTGTTGCAGCTACTATGTCAATCCATCTCATTGAGGGTCTTCCTCCTTTTTGCTGACCCTCTACTTTATCAAGCATTATGTCCTTCTCGAGGGAGTGGTCCCTCCTGATAACATGTCCAAAGTATGTGTTATGGATTGAATTGTACCCCCCCAAAATTATGTATCAACTGGACTAGGCCATGATTTCCTGTACTGTGCGGTTCTCCTCCATTTTGTGGTCTAACGTAATTTTCCTACGTGTTGTAAATCTTAGTCTCTGCCTGTGGTTAATAAGGCAAGATTAGGTTATGTTAAAGAGGACTAAGGTAGGATGCAACACCCTTACTCATGTCACAACCCCAATCCAAAGTAAGGAGAGTTTCCCTGGGGTGTGGCCTGCATCACCTTTTATCTTGCAAGAGATAAAAGGAGAGAGAAGGGATCAGAGAGATAGGGACCTCCTACCACTAAGAAAGAAGTGTTGGGAGCAGAGCACATCCTTTGGACCCAGGGTCCCTGTGCTGAGAAGCTCCTAGACCCAGGTGAAGATTAATAACAAGGAGCATTCCCCAGAGCTGATAGAGGAAGGGTTCCCCTGGCCTGGCACCCTGAACTCGGAATTCTGGCCTCCTAAACTGTGGGAGAATACATTTCTGTTTGTTAAAGCTATCCACTTGTGGCATTTCTGTTACAGCAGCACTAGATAACTAAGGCAGTATGTAAGACGAAGTCTCAACATCCTCCCTTCTGAGAAGCATTCTGGCTGTACCTCTTCCAAGACGAATTTGTTCATTCTTCCAGCAGTCCATGGTATATTCAATATTCTTTGCCAACACCATAATTCAAAGGCACCAGTTCTTCTTTGGTCTTCCTTATTCATTGTGCAGCTTTTGCATACATATGAGGCAATTGAAAATACCATGGCTTGAGTCAGGCACACGTTAGTCCTTAAAGTTACATCTTTGCCTTTTAACACTTGAAAGAGGTCTTTTGCAGCGGATTTGTCCAATATAACATGTCGTTTGATTTCTTGACTGCTGTTTCCATGGGTGTTGATTGTGGATCCAAATAAAAGATTACAGCCTAGAAAACCCTATGGAGCACTTCTACTTTGTTACTTGGCGTCTCAATGAGTGGAGAATTGACTCAATGGCACCCAACAACAACAACATATCTAGAATACTTCAGTATATCTGATTGTGGCTGGACATCTGCTGTAGAGTTGGTGCCCCAATCTGTAGCAACCTTATGCACAATAGAACTGTACCATCCCCATGATCTGTTGCAAATTGGACTGTTGTAATACATAGGGTTTTCACTGGCTGATTTTCATAAGTCTATCACCAGGCCTTTCTTCCTAGTTCATCTTAGTCTGGAAGCAACACGCAAGCCTCCACTGACTGATGGGTGGTGGCTGTTCATGAGTTGCATTGGCTAGGAATTGAACGTGAGTCTCCCGTACGGAAGGTGAGAATTCTACCACTGAACCACCAATGCCTTGAACCTACACTAGAATGAAATAAAACAATGTTTGGCCCCTAAGGTGCTATGACTGCTTGACCACAGCTAAGTCCTTCATGGGCTACAAAAGCTTGGGGATGTACCGGGCCTGATTTTATAGGGTTACACTGAGACAGAACTGCAACTTGGGCAATGAATCTAGTAGATTCTGGTAATGGCAAGTCAAGTCAAACTGGGTGCTAGTTGCAAAACTGTCCACGTTGTGGCTCAAGTATTGGGAACCTGCCCTTTCAACTGTACCTAAGTAATGTTCCACGAATTAATGCCGAAAGTCATGGAAGATTCCTTAAGAGAAAAATGCCAGTACACGTTCAAAGATTCCCCTAAGTCATAGATCAAAGGTAAACAAAACAAGCAAACTCATTAAGTTGAATGTTTACACATTCAGGGTTTAGAACTTACCTTTGCTCAGAGTTAGGTAGAGAAAGAGAACCGAAGTAGTTAACGTTTGGGCAGAGTTATTCTTTGTTGATTTACTTGAATCAGTTAGGGTAAGCCAGGTAAATGATTTTGAATAACCCTAAATATTTTTCTGCTTTTGGGCAAGAAGAACTGAGCCATTTGTGGATAGACTTGCCTATCCCATAGGAAAGACATAAATTATAATACATTTAGGCTGCAAAATTATATATGGCTTTAAAATGTTGCTGACTCATGGCAACCCCATGCACAATAGAAGGAAACACTGCTCAGTCCTATGCCATTTATAGGGTTTTAATTGGCTGATTTTCGTAAGTATATCACCAGGCCTTTCTTCCTAGCCCATTTTAGCCTGGATGCTCCACTGAAACCTGTTCAGCATCATAGCAACATGGACGCCTCCAACTGACCAATGAGTGGTGGCTGCGCATGAGTACACCGGCTGGAAATAGAACACAGGTCTCCAACATGGAAATTGTCTTAGTTATCTAGTGCTGTTATAACAGAAATACCACAAGTGGATGCCTTTAACAAACAGAAATTTATTCTTTCACAGTTTAGGAGGCTAGAAGTCCAAATACAGGGCCTCAGCTCCAGGGGAAGGCTTTCTCTCTCTCTTGGTTCCAGGGGCAGGTCCTTGTCATCAATCTTCCCCTGGGTCTAGTAGTTTCTCAGCACGGGGATCCTAGGTCCAAAGGATGCACTCTGCTCCTGGCTCTTCTTTCTTGTTGGTAGGAGGTCCCCCTTCTCTCTGCTCACTTCTCTCTTTTATATCTCAAAAGAGACTGACTCAAAATGCAACCTAATCTTATAGATTGTGTCCTGCTTCATTAATACAATGGACAGCTCACTCCCAAATGGGACCATAACCACAGGCATAGAGGCTAGGATTTATAACACATAGGATAATCACATCAGATCACAAAATGAAGGACAACCACACAATACTGGGAATCATGGCCTAGGCAAGTTGACACATTTTTTGGGGGACACAATTTAATCCATGATAGAAGGTGAGAATTCTATCACTGAACCACTAATGCCTTTGACTTAAAAATACTAGTTTTAAAATTGAAAAAGTAATACATACACACAGTAAATATTTTAACAGGTTTTTGAGTAAAAGCTAAGTTTCATTCTTAAAAGGTAATTGTTTCTAGTTTCTCCTGTAGCCCTATAGACATATTCTATGTATAAGCAAACATATATACATTTTGGCGTAGTGGTTAAGCGTTTGGCTGCTAACTATAAAGTCAGCAGTTTGAATCCACTAGCTGCTCCTTGGAAGCCCTATGGGGCAGTTCTACTCTGTCCTATAGAGTCACTATGAGAAAGAATCCGCTCGACAGCGATGGGTTTGGTTTTTGGTTTTATTCCTTTAAAAAATACAAACTGGAGCATATTATATGTTCTTGCTGAACAATGTATCTTGGAGATATTTTCCTATCTTAGATATAAAGCCAGCTCACTCTAATAACTATATTGTTGTCATTAGGTGCTGTCCAGTCGATTTTTGACTCATAATGACCCAATGTGACAGAACAGAATTGCCCCATAGGGTTTTCTAGTCTGTAATCTTTTACGAGAGTAGATTGCCAGGTCTTTTGTCCCTCAGAGGTGCTGAGTGGGTTCGAACTGCCAACCTTTCAGTTAGCAGCTGAGCACTTATCTGTTGCGCTGCAAGGACTCCTTAATAACTACATAAAACCCATTGCCTTTGAGTCGATTCCAGCTCATAGTGACCCTGTAGGACAGAGTACAACTGCCCCATAGGGTTTCTAAGGAGCAGCTGGTGGATTCAAACTGCTGACCTTTTGGTTAGCAGCCTGAGCTCTTAACCATTGCGCCACCAGGGCTAGTGTTCTATAGTAGGGATACACTCTTATTTATTTAACCAATATCCTATTTATGGATTTTTTTCCCCCCAGTTGTTTGCTATCTTAAGCAATGCTGCAATGAATATCTTTTCACATATGTCTGTGCACAGGTACAAGTATATCACTAGAATAAATTCATAGAAATGGATTGTTGGATCAAAAGTTATAAATATTTAAAATTTTGATAGTTCCCGAGAAACTGACCTCACCAATAGCATATGAGAGTGCCTGTTTCTCCAGAACCTTGACCACACAGTGTATTATTGATTTTGTATCTTTGTTAATCTGATAACAAAAACTTTTTGTTTGCATTTTATAAAAAATTACAAGTATAACTGAGAAATAATACTGCTTAAAAATTACAAGTTAGTGGAGAGACTGAGGATTTTTTATAGTTGTATCTGACTTTGGCTCACTTTTGGGAGAGGGGTCCCAGGGAGTTTATCATTATAGGAGTAAATTTAATTATGTTGATAGGGTTCCTACAAAATGTGTTGCAATAAGCTATTTTAACAAGAGACAGTTTCATGAATAGGTTTCATTTTTCGTAAAAGGGGAAGAAACACCATTCTGTGGCTTGATGTGGGTTTGTCAGTTATTGCCCCTCCTCTTTCTGGGACTTCCCATTGCTTCTTTAGCACAAATTAGGCTCGAGCAAAAACAACATTTTCTCTTCCCATGGGATCAGTTATAAAAGAAGTGGCAATGCAACGAGCAACTTACTTTCTTGGTCTTAACCAATGAAAGGTAGACTCACGAAAGGCTTGCAAACATTTCTGGAAAGAACACAGGCTGGCTTGTTCAGCTCTATATGGTCAGTCGCTGTGTTTCTGTGGGAGCAGAGGAGCAGAGTGGTTAGTGAAGGTAAGAAAAAGGAGACAGTGGGCCTTGTAACTGCTAACATTTTCTGCCATTTATCCTGTCACTCTTTCTTAGCCCTTTATTACTAGAATGCAGATCCAATCTTACAATGTCTAAAATGCTTTCGCAGCTTACCAAATCAGAGGTGGGAGGAGACAAAGCAAACTATCAGTGGAGTTGGATGATAAAAGAGAAATAAAACCAAACACTCTCTTCTCTTACCTCCTCAGGTTTACATTTTGGCCATTTCTGAAGCATTTTTTTACCTGAAATTTTGAGTGGTCTGATCAAATTTTTGTTGTATGGTTTATTCAGTCCTTTTTCACTAATCCTACACAAGTTGAGCTTCTTCTTTTAAAAGCCTAAAAACCTAAGCAGAATTTTGCAGGAACAGCACACAGCTCTTGAATTCAGTTACAGTGATGGCATTTTAGAGACGATACAATCACAATCAATTCCATTTGGACTTGGCTCTCAATTATTCAGTTCAGCGAACTTGCGATAGGTGTTGTTCTTTGTGGCAGGACATTTTCAAAGTGAACATGAGCTACAGTGATGATGCTTTTTGAAACACCACCTGAGTGATTTGGGAAAAGCTGTCAGAATTAAGGAGTGCATTCACAGGTGGGCTTTTGTTTGAATTATCTTTGGACCTGCTCAAACATTCATTTTTCTCGTGCATATCTATCTGTGCTTGAATATAGACCTGGTTGGTCAGAATATTTGTACTGATATTTTTATAACATTTCTTGCATAGATCAGTTTGGGAAGATTTTGTTTCTGAAGCCTCTTTTAGGAGTGAAGAGTGTTTGAAACTGGTGTTAAGCATTCATATTATAGTAATGGTAATTTTGTGGGTATACAAAGGTAACGAACTAATTCTATTATCTATTATCTCAAAACAAAGCACGTTTATATCAAGTCATTGAATCATTTCCAATCCCATGTATAATGATTATCTTAGGTATATAAGATATTGCCCCTCTAGGCTCCTAACAAACATTATAGAATGTAAATGTGCCTTTATTAAATATGTTGTAGTTACTTTCCTCTCAATTTTTATTTCAAAAAAAATTCAAATTTATATAAAAGTTGAAAGAATAGTACAGTGAACACCCATGTTTCTATTATGTAGATTGATCAGTTGTTAGTATTTTGCCACATTTACTTTCTCTCTTTCTCATAGTTGTTTTTCCTGAATTGTTTGAGAGTATATTGACTTTGGAGCCCTGGCGGCACAGTAGTTGAGAGCTACAGTGAGCTATGGCTGCTAACCAAAAGGTCGGCAGTTCAAATCCACCAGACACTCCTTGGAAACCCTATGGGGCAGTTCTACTCTGTCCTATAGGGTCGCTATGAGTCGGATTCAGCAACAGGTTTTTTATACTGACTTTAGGATACATGTTACCCGTAAATACTTAAGCACGCATCTCCTAAGAATAAGGGCAGTCTTCTACTTACTACAATATCATTATAACATCAAGGAAATTTAACATCAATACAATACTATTATCTAATTTAAGGTCCATATTCACATTTCCCCAATCCACATGTCCTCTAGAACTTTTTTATTTATTAAATTCAGCATCAGTCAAGGATCTTGCATTGCGTTTGATTGCCATGCCTATTACCACGAACATTTATTGAATTGCATGATGTTGAATTACTCGATATATTTTGACACAAAATGAGAGGACTAGAAAATGAAGAAATGTGATCTTAATGTTTAATTTTTCAATTTGTAAGATGTCAAGAAAGGATACGAAGAAAAATACAAACTATGACAGAAATATATTTACTAATATTTCACGCCAGATTTTATACATTCTGAAATAAGGAAATCTACACATCTAGAGAAAGCCCTAGGGAGGAGCTATTGCACTTGGTCATAGGATCTAAGTAGAACCAAACAGAAAATTATTTATTTACATGGTAATGTTACTATGGAAAACAGAGGGCTTTCAAATTACAATTATATTCTCTTGGTCACCAAGTTAGACTTTCACAAATTAATTCATTGAGTAAGAAACACTTCATATTTGATAGAAGAGTAGATAATCTCAAATTATATTTTTGTAACAGGGATTGAAATAAAGATGGGTGATATTTTAGAGCATTTGTCAATGAAATGGTGTGAGAGATGAAATAGTAGGAATATAATCTAAGGTATGTGAATAAATGCATGGTTATTTCCAGCTCTAAAAAAGTATGTATTTTTAAACAAAAGAGTAAGGAAACGGCAGATGCTATTTTAGACATGGAGATCCTTCCTAAAGAGTCCCCTTATTTTTGGTAAAGTTCTTGTATCCCTTACTAAAATAAATAAAAATAAAGCTTCTAATATAGATTTGATTACATTATCATAACTAGATTGTGAATAAAGAAAGACTCAAGTATTCCAATGATAACTTCTAGTGATTTACATGCAAGTCCCAAGAATCAGTAAGATCTTAACATTTAGATTGGAATAGTGTGATCTCTAATTCAGATTATAGGGGAGATAGAGAGGTGAAGAAGTCCCTGTGTGGTGGAAGCGCTTGGCTGCTAACTGTAAGGCTGGAGGTTGGAGTTCACCCAGAGGTGCCGCGAAAGAAAGCCCTGGTGATTTACTTCTGAAAAATCAGCCATTGAACACCCTGTGGAGTACAGTTCTACTCTGACATAAGTGGGGTTTCCACAAGTCAGAATTGACTCCACGATAACTGGTTAGAGAGGTGAAGAGATGAATAGGAAGATTTTGAGGATTTAGGGATATTAAAAAACATCTCTGATATATCACCTAAACATGGTCTTAACCAGACAGTTTGCTTCACCCTCAAATCTGAGGCATACATAAATTTATTCATCAATTGGAAAATTAAAAAAAAAATAATGTATTGAAAAATGTCAGTGGAAACTATTAATCTCAAATATTTCTGGTGAGAATAAACTGGTCCAAGCTATTTGAAAAGCAATTTGGCAATAACTATGATCTAGTGATTCTACTTCTCCCATTCTGGTCGAAGGAAACATTCATGGAAGCATATACAATGATTACACATAGTGAAAAAGCGAGAAAACTCTCCATGAGAAATGATTTACTAAAATAAGCTGTGCCAATAGCATGGAATATTTTGTAACTGTTAAAAGATAAAGATATATAAGCACCTTAGCTAGCTAGATCAGTAGAAAGCTTTTTTCCTGTCTTTGCTTCCACAAGGTCACCTCCTGTAATGCCAGGAGGAAGCCCCTCCCCACTGCCTCCATTTTGTGCGAAGCTGCTGGTGGTATCTTCTTTGCGTCCCTGTCTCACTCCAGCTTCTTAGATGTCTTAGTCTGCATGGGCTCAAAATGTCCTTCCAGAGACAGGATCTGTTCTGTCGACTTATCACTCCAAATTCCCCTGCTCCCTACCAATTCCTAATCTTCTCGCTTTCCTTTTGCTATTTCCCATTACTCCTTCGTTCCAAAAACTGTTCCAATGATTTATTTCACTGTTTAAGGTAGTAGCTGCTTTTTGCTAATGTTTCATACAATCCTGATAACTATATTGGGGTAGGGGAAAGAAGAACCTAGAATCTCCTAATTTAGGGACAAGGATTCTGGATGGTTGGTCAGGGGTGCTGAAATGTTAATTATGAGATGAGACCCGAAGGGTATAGGTGGTGGGAACAGAGGTTGGAAAGGGAACCAGATTTCTCAGAACAGAAGAAAAAAAAAATGCACACATAGCTGGGATGGGCAGGATGATTGGGGGGACCGGGAGGAGTTCTGCATGGCTGGGTTGTGGGTCCTGTGGGGAACAGGCAGAGAGGAGGTTGGGAAGGCAGACAGGGACCACACTTCATGAGGGCCTAGGGTATATAGACTTTATTCCAGAGGCGATGGGGAGCTGTAACATTAAATTACCTCGTGGAGGATGTTGGAAAATTAGGGGTGAGAGGATGCCAGGCTCTAGCAGTGGGAATACTTAAGGAAAATTTTCATATGATTAGACTCGAAGACCTGTTTTTTTTCAGAGGCAAAATCAGAGGATAAGGTATTTGTGTACCTCAAGGACATATGAGTGCTGGCAATCAATTGCCACATGCTTGCAGGCCTCTGGGCTGCCCCTCAGGAGTGGGCACTGGCTGTCTTCCTGGGGCTTTTCTTTCTGTACTTCACTGTCCATTCCTTCCTTTATTCGGCAATTGCTGCTGTTATTAAATGGAATCAGTGCTGATATCCTTTTCCTGGAAGAACTAATGGCTTGTTTTCATGACTGTGTGATACCAGCTGCTCTCAACTGTGCAGTAGTGTGACGGGGTGTAGAGAACAGAGCACACGCTTTGAAGTTCGTAAACTTGGCCTTGAATCTTGCCTCTAGCACTTAGTAGCTGTGTGACCTTGGGAAAATCATTTGTCATATCTGAATCTCAGTTTTCTCATTCAGAAAATGCAGATTATGATAATGCCTAATGTACAGTAACGTAGAGTTAATGTACGGAAAGCACCCAATAAGCAGTTGCTATGATGACGATGATGATAAGGATGTTCTATTCAACTCATTGCATCTGCTTTTTGACTTAGGTCAGGGGTCAGCAAGCCAAGGCCCATGGGCAAAATCCAAGCTGCTTGTTTTAGTAAGTGAAGTTCTTTTGGAGCATAGTCACACCCATTCGTTTACATATTGCCTATGGCTGCTTTCATGCTACAAAGGCAGAACTGAGTAGTTTCGACAGGCGCCATACATCCTGCAAAGACTAAAATATTTATTACCTGGCTCTTTACAGAAGAAGTTTGCCAGCCCCTAACTTAGGTTTTTCCAAATGTTCTCTCTTGTAAAGTCATTCCCTCTTTAGGTTTTCTCTCTGATTCCATGCTTGTGTTGTTTGGGTGTAAATTAAAAGTGTATCTATATTCAGAAGTCATAGCAACAGTTGTCCGAGAAACTGTGTAACTCCTAGTCTGGAAGGAAGAATTTATATTGCAATTTCTTCTGAACTCCAAGTAAATGACTTAACAAGGTGCCATACTTTAGCATATATTTCTAAGTTGTAAATTTGCACATAAGCTTAATTTTGGTATTCCCCTGTCTTGTAATGATCAATGTAGGCTAAATTTGCCTAGAACATCTCATCTGCAAATGTCCTTGGGTGTCTTTTTCTTCACACTGAACCAGTCATGGAGAATTCTAAATATATGCAGCTTCTCTAAGAGGAGAAACAAAAATTCAAGTGATAAAATATGTTCGAATGATTAAAAGAATGTTATCGGGTTAAGTTTTAGTGTCTCAGATGAAAAGAAGTCTAATAAGAAATATAGCAACATTTATTTGAAATATTTCTTTTATAATATCTTTGAAGAGATCCAGTAATGTGTCATAAGAATTTCCTGGATAATCGCTGAGGATTATTAAAAAATGCCAACAGTTAATCAAAACAAACCCAAATAATCTTTCTCTATTTTTAAATTTTAACATGTTGTGATGTGTAGCACTGGTTTTATCTAATGGTGTATTAAAGAGTTGTTATGAAGATTAAATGCTTTAGCATATGTATAATTTTTGTAAGCGTTACGCGTTATTACTTTCCACAGCTTTAGAGCAATCTTTCAAAAGTTGCCTTAGCATGCTCTCTGCTGCCCTCTGCTGCTAATTTTCAGAAACTAATTTTGATTCTGAGTAATGCTCACCTAACTCTCTAATTTCTCGTCTCTTAATATAGTTATAAACTCAAGGAATATTAAAGTTTGACGGGACTTTAGAGATCATTTAATCCCACATTCTCATTTTACAGATGAGAAGTCGAGTGCATGAGAAGTTCAGCAGCATGTGAACATGGATTCTGGTTTCAGACTGCTGGTGTCTGAGCGCCTGGTGGCTTTGGAGACAATACTCAATTTTTTTCATCTGTAAAATAAGCGTAGCAATAGTGCCTACATCTTAGAGTCTTTGTGGGGCTGGATTGATTTAGTGCATAAAAAGTACTTAGAATAGTATCTGGGATGTAGCTAGTACTGTTAGCACCTGAGCTCTTAACCACTGCACCACCAGGGCTCCATAGTACTGCATCAATCTTAGCTATTATAGACTTGTCACTAACTCCACTAAAGCCATTAGCTAGTGACAAGGTTAGAACTTGAACTCTGGTCTCTTGACTACTAGTTCAAGTTTTGTTTTGTGTTTTGCCTCAATGACTCTGAATTCATAAGCAAATTTTACCTTGAAATGTAGATTTTTGAAACGTGACCTGTTGAGTACATTTGAAGCTCTTGTAGTCTTTGCAAAGCTATGTGATACCACACTCCTTGTAGTGTTCAAGGCGGGCTTCCCACAGAAGTTATTACAAACTCTTATGGCTCCTCAAGCTCCCAGTAAATACTCCCACTGCCTATATTGGGAGATAATTTCACTGTTGACTTTCAGTAACTGCTCTCCCGAGCTCTCAGTCTGAATCTCCAATTCACAGTTGGATACTTACAGGCTCAGCCTCATATTAGACAAGAGAAATTAAACGAAACATGTCAGTTCCCTTCCCGGCTCCTCCTCCTGATTTCTCTTCAGTCAATGCCAGTGCCACTTCCCCACATACCCAGATTGGAAGGTGCAGAATTACTTTTGGCTTCTCTATCGCCTTCACTTTCATGCCCAGGATACTTGGTCTCTCAAATTCATCTCTCTTCTTCTTGGACCGTAGTGATAATTAGGGTTTTCCTTGGCTGATATGCAGAAGTAGATCACCAGGCCATTCTTCCTAGTGTGTCTTAGTCTGGAAGTTCCACTGAAACCTGTTTAGCGTCATGGCAACATGCAATCCACCACTGACAGACAGGTGGTGGCTGCATATGAGGTGCACTGGCTGGGAATTGAACCCCGGTCTCCCACATGGGAGACTCCATGTGTGTCAGAGTAGAACTGTGCTCCATAGGGTTTTCAATGACTGATTTTTGAGAAGTTGATAGCCAGCACCTTCTGCTGAAGTGCTTCTGGGTGGACTAAAACTTCCAACCTTTCTGTTAATAGTAAAGCGCGTTAACCATTTGTACCACCCGGGGACTCCAACAGCCATCCTGGTGGGTGTGAAGTGGTTCACCATCTTTTGATGCCTCCTCTCCAACAACTCTTCTGCTCTGCTAATTACCATCTCAAAGAGCCCTGGTGGCGCAGTGGTAAAGGGCTCGGCTGCTAACTGAAAGGTTGGCGGTTCGAACCCACCAGCAGTTCCGAGAGAAAAGACCTGGCGATCTGCTTCCGTAAAGATTACAGCTGAGGAAACCCTATGGGGTAGTTCTACTCTGTCTTACAGGGTTGCTATGAGTTGGAATCCACTCGACAGCACCTAAGAACAATGTAACAACAACAGTTCTCTTCTCATGCATGTAACATTTGCCTTGTTGAGGGCAGAATGACACTTAGAAAGTTTTTTTCTGGAAAGAACAACATTTTCTTTATTCTTATGAGGTAAGTGTGCTCAGCATAGGATAGGTAGGTACTTCATGTATTTGTTGATGATCTTTAACTTTGTATCTTCGTGCTCTATAACAGGGCTGGCATATAGTCAATATTTAAATAATTGATAAATTTGCTGAATATATCTTGAAATAGTTCCAGAAGAGAAATTAAACATTGTAAATATTACCCTTGCAGAATTTCAAGACTAGAACACATTTTATTTACTTGGAAAATAATATATAGATGAATGTAAAAAGGATACTAAAATTTTTTAAAAATTGTACCCTTACTGACGGTTAAAATACAATCCTTCTTTAAAAAAATTTTTTTTTGATTTTTGGTGAAAATATACACAACAAAACACACCCATTCAACAATTTTTACACGTACAGATCAATGCCATTGATTACATTCTTCACATTGTGTCACTATGTCTATCCATACTGTTTTACTACCATGAATTTAAGCTTTCCGCGTCCCTTCAAGTTGTCATCTGTGCTTTAGAACTCCTGTTGTCAGTTTGATCTCATACAGATAGTTCTTTAAAAGAGCACAATGTTCAAGGATGACAGTCTTGACTAATTGAGCTACACTGTGTTTAGTTTAAAGATAACTTCATAGGATAGTTTTGGTTCAAGGTTTAAAGATTATTTCAGGCCAAGAGATTCGAGGGCTCCTCTAGTCGCAATGGATCTCGTAATAATACTTCTTTTCTAATTTGACTTTTTTATTTCAGGCTCAAGTTGGCAGGTCAGGTTTAGAAGCCCAGACCTCAAGGCCAAAGGGGACCAGCCCCTCTATATTCCTTGCTATGGTCTTTTGCCCCGGTGCCAGGAATATCATTGCATTTCTTTTTTTAGAAAATGCAGCTGCTGGCTTCTAGCCTTTTCTAGCCACTCGTGACTCCAGTGACAACTGCTAAGGGTGAGGAGGGGAGGCAGGTGTAGGAAAGACCCGTGGTCAGGAAACTTTCTTGGTAACTAGGGTAAGGATAAACACATCAATTGGACACAGAGACATTCCCAGGAAGTATTATGAGAAGTGGGAGGGATAGAGCAAGAAATCCATCCTGGGCTGTAAAGGTAGGACAGGCTTCATGGTCCTTTTTGATGGCCTGATAGTGAATTAATTTCATACCAGGCAATTGTTATCAGCTATCTGATTGAAATTCATAAATATCCTTTGAGTCTCTCCCAAATGCAAATAACTGTGCTAGGTGCTAGGGATAGAATACATAGATAAGTAGGATACAGCTCTTGTTTTCCCTAGAATTTACCACGTATTTCCTCATCATTTTTCTCATAACCCACCATCTAGACCAACCATGTTGCTCCCCAATTTACAACTTTTCAATCACTTTCCATTTCCTATGGGGCAGAGCACAAATGTCTTTCCATGACTCCCAAGGCCCTTCATGACCCAATTCCAGTCTATTTTCCAAGTCTCATCTGATTATGCGCAGCGTCTTGGTATATCATGAACGGGCCATGCCATCATATTTTCTTGTTTTTAGTGTTCTAAATATGTATATAAAACACTACATTTGCCAAATCAACATTTTTCGGGTGCACAATTTAGTGATATCAATTACACTACTCATGTTGTACAACCATCACCATTAACAGAAACTCACCACTTCCTAAACAATGTCCTATCACCATATTCTCTTTTAACCCTGGGCCAGTGGTTGGAACTCCTACTCACTTTTGACAATTCAGCTGAACTGTCACCTCCTCTACAACACATCCCATGACTTCTCTCCTTTACCCTAGACTGTGTTAGCGGCCCCTCTTCTGTACTTCCTTTGTGCCTATCACTCTCATAACCCTAAATCACATGATATTGAAATTGTTTATTTTCTCTCACAGTGGGAAACTCCCTCAAGGATGGAACTGAGTTCTATCCATCTTTATATCTACAGCACACACCATAGTCCTGGTATATCCAAAACAAAAAACAAAACCCATTGCTGTTGCGTCGATTCTGACTCATAGCGACCCTACAGGACAGAGCAGAACTACCCCACGTGGTTTCTAAGAAACAGCTGGTGGATTCAAAGTGCCGACCTTTTGCAGGCACTAAGTTACGGATGGCTGGGTGGATGAATGGAGTGGCTTCATCCATTGTCCTTTACTTCTGATATGTCAGCTGCTGATTTTTAAAACCCTAATCTTCTTTTTCTCCACTGTTACTCATCAACTCTCTTTCCAGAATGCTGTCAGAAGGATATCTCAGTGGACTTGCCTATTGGAACGACGTCCACTGGAACTGTGCCTCTCATAATGAGCAAGTGGCTGAGGAAAAGGGAGAAGAGACAAATGCTGATGCCGTCCTTTCCTACTCCTCTGTGGACGAAACACAGGTCAGAAGTCTCTACGTGAGCTGCAAATCCTCTGGCAAGTTTATTTCTTCAGTGCATTCAAGAGAGAGCCAACGCAGCAGAAACCAGAGAGTCACAGTGCTGCAGACAAACCCCAATCCTGTGTTTCAAAGGCCAAGCTTGACCACAGTTGAAATCTGTGGAGACCACAGTACCAGCAGAGAAACCTACCTGGTACCACCTTCCTGCAAAAGTATTTGCAAGAATTACAATGACTTACATATTGCAGGGGGCCAGGTGATGGCCATTAATTCAGTGACAACAGATTTTCCCTCCGAGAGCAGTTTTGAATATGGCCCTTTGCTGAAGTCATCTGAGATTCCTTTGCCCATGGAGGATTCCATTTCTACTCAGCCCAGTGACTTTCCCCAAAAACCTATCCAGCGCTACTCATCCTACTGGAGAATAACCAGCATCAAAGAAAAAAGTAGCCTGCAAATGCAGAAGCCTATTTCTAACGCGGTGCTGAATGAGTACCTGGAGCAGAAGGTGGTAGAGTTATATAAGCAATACATTATGGACACCATGTTTCATGAGAGTTCTCCTACCCAGATTCTGGCATCTGAACTCATCATGACAAGTGTGGACCAAATTAGTGTTCAAGTGTCTAGAGAGAAGAACCTGGAGACTTCCAAAGCCAGGGATATAGTCATTAGCCGCCTGTTACAGTTGGTGTCAAGTGAAATCAGCACTCCTAGTCTTCATATTTCTCAGTATAGCAGTATGAATTCATAGAGAGGATGCTTCCATTCTCCTTTCTCAGCTACTCAAACCCAAAGTAACACTTTATTACATTTATTCTGAGAAAGTCCAGGAGGAGGTTCTGAAGAGAGTCAAGAGCTAGAGAAGTAAAGGTTGGCTGGAAGTCAGGTGTGAATTAAGGCGAAAGCTCATAATATTACACCTGATGGAAGAATGTGTGAAGAGGAGCTATGAAGAATTATTTCAAAGAGACGGTTGTACAGCAAATTAAGCAAAAATAAAAATGATCAAAAAAGAAAAGGTTATGACTCATTTAAGGGGGTATAGAAATTGAAACAGAAGAAAAAACAAGCCAAATAAGAAGGAAACACAGCAAAGGCAAAACTGAAAAGTCAAAAGGTTTCAGGGTAACTAGTTATGAATATGTTTGTTACCCAGATACATTCCTCCAAGTTGCTTCTCCTTGGGGGAAAAGGACTGTGGGAGGCTGTTACATTTGGGTAGAAAGACGGCTTCAAACATTTTCCAAAATAAATGTTTATATTGTTTCTCTAGTCTGTGTCAGTAGATCATTTAAAGATACAGCTCTGTAAAATGAAAATTGTAGCAAATTGCAGTTGTTTTTAGTTTTGAATGATTATTTAGCCATAGCTATGGCTAGAAAATAGCCACTCAAATCCCGTAATTCTGTTTACTAGTGAGGAGAAAGTTTTCTAATTGAAAAATGCCACTTAGTAACCCTTTAAAATATCTAGTTTTATTTTGCTGTATATGATTTTCTTGGGATACTAAGCTTCAAAAGAAACTACGAATCTTATTTTTATCCATTGTTTTCCTCTTCCTTTTCTCCATGCTGTTTTGATCCTTTTAGATCCTCAAAACAAGGTTAGCAAAACCAAAAACCAAACCCATTGCCGTTGAGTCCATTCCGACTCACTGCGACCCTATAGGACACAGTAGAATTGCCTGTAGGGTTTAGGAGGAGCGGCTGGTGGATTTGAACTACCAACTTTTTGGTTGGCAGCTGTAACTCTTAACAAACTAATTTCTCATGCTATCAAATTCTGCAAACTCATTCACTAGGATGGAAACTTTATGAGCTGTTCACCGCTTTACCCCTTTCGTCTAGCACAGGGCTTGGCAAACTACAGCCTGAGGGCCAAAAACCAGCCTGCTGCCTGTTTTTGAACTCCTGCGAGCTAAGAATTATTTTTCCATTTATAAATGGTTGAAAAAAAAATTGAAGAACAATATATCACGAACTGTGAAAATCATATGAAATTCAAATTTCACCGTCCACAAATAAAGTTTTATTAAAACATAACCACACTTACTTGTTTACGTATTATCTGTGGCTGCTTTCACGCTAGAATGGCAGATTGAGTAGATGCAACCGAGATTGTAGGGCCCAAAAAGCCTAAAACATTTATGATGTGGCCCTTTACAGAAAAAGTTTGTCAAGTGCCTTACCCACACAGTAGTTACTTGACTCAATTCAAGTTTCCTGGGGAAGTAGACTCTGAGATAGAAATTGGTGAAGAAGAGTTATTGGAGCGTGGTCTTAGGAACAACTTCTGTGAGCAGGGGCGGATTAACCAGTAAGCAAGGAATGCGCAGGCTTACATTAAGCAAGGTACGCACCGGTTACTTGTGTTTACTTACTAATCTGTAGGGCACGATTTCACATGGATTTCACCACATCTTTGCACCCCAACATCAACAAGGTTGGGGTATAACTTTAGCCGAGGCAATTCAGTTGAGGGCAATTCCCAAAGTGGGAATCAGCTGTGAGCCTTCAGTACCAAACTCCTGGCAGCTGCTGAAGGAACAAGTGTCCAGCTTCGTGTCCTAAAAGAGCAGTCTCGGTGGAGCAACGCGGCATCCTCTACATTCTCGGTAAGTATTCGCGGAGGAGGAGTCCCTGGGTGGTGCAAAGCGTTCATGGGTTCAGCTGCTAGCCAAAATGTTGGAGGTTAAAGTCCACCCAGAGATGCCTCAGAAGAAAGGCCTGGCAATCTACTTCTGAAAAAACCAGCCATTGAAAATCTTATGGAGCATGGGTTTTACTCTGACACACATGGGGTCCCATGTGTTGGAGTTAACTCAACTCAAGTGGTACTGGTAATTGTTGAGTAAATGAATTTTTTTTCAATAATATATAATATTGCATAAGGAAACCTGATTTTGAAATAATTATTCAGAAATGTTATTCACTGTTTAAAATATATCATAATAATCCACCCACTACCATTGCTGTCGAGTCAATTCCGACTCATAGCGACCCTATAGGACAGAGTAGAACTGCCCCATAGGATTTCCAAGGAGTGCCTGCTGGATTTGAACTGCCGACCTTTTGGTTAGTAGTCATAGCTCTTAACCACTACACCACGAAGGCTTCTATCATCATATTAGCTACTATGTATTAGTTATTTAGGAGCCCTGGTGGCACAATGGTTAAGCACTTGGCTGCTAACTGAAAGGTCAGCAGTACAACCTACCAGCCGCTCTGCGGGAGAAAAGACCTGGCTATCTGCTCCCATAAAGATTACAGCCTAGGAAACCCTATGGGGCAGTTCTACTCTGTCACACGGGGTTGCTATGAGTCAGAATCGACTCAGTGGCACACAACAATAACAATATTAGTTGTTTGCTATGTACCTGGCACTGTGTTAAGAAGTTTGCATGAATTATCTTATTTAATTCTCATAATAATCGTATGAGAGACTGTGTCTATTATTTACCCCTTTTTACAGATGAGCTAGGTGGGCTCAGGGAAGGTAAGTAATTTGTCCAAGGGCACACAGTGAGTGGTGGAACTGGATTTGAATTCAGTTCCATTTGACTTGAAAGCCTTTGTTCTTAACCATTACCATCTGCTTTTTCCTGTTGACCACTGTATTTGTCTCATTAAAGACTAGTGTTCTACTCCAAGGGAAATCAACTCAATTGTTTTCCTATTATGTTACTTCATTTCTTACTGTGAATGCCATAAGGAGGAACTTGCATTTTATCATGAGTGCAATGCAAAGCCATTAATGGCTTTTAAATGGGCTCCATAGCAATAACCACAGTCTGAATTTATTCAAATCACTCAGTTGTTTACTTGCTTATTGCCTATCTCTTGCACTAGAATACTACTTTCTTAGGAGCCAAGACCTTGGTTGTCTTCCTCAGTCCTGTTTCGCAGTGCTTAGAACAGTGCCTGGTTCATAGAAAAAAACCAAAAACCAAACCCATTGCCATCGAGTTGATTCCGACTCATAGCGACCACGTAGAACAGAGTGGAAGTGCCCCATAGGGTTTCCTAGACTGTTATCTTTACAGAAGCAGACTGCCACATCTTTCTCCCGCAGAGCAGCTGGTGGGTTCCAACCACCAACCTTTCCATTAGCAGTCAAGTGCTTAACCATTGGGCCACCAGGGCTCCTGGCTCATAGAAATCACTCAATAAATATTTGCTGAATGAATGCATGAATAGGCAGTATATAAGTTTCTGATGGCTGCTGTGAAAAATTGCCAAAAGTGACTTAAAACAACACAGATTTAGTAACTTACAGTTCTGGAAGCCGGAAGTCCAAAATCAGTTTCATTAGGCTAAAATCAAGGTGTTGGCAGAGCTGCGTTCCCTTCTGGAGGCTCTAGGGGAGAATCTGTTTCTTTGTCTTTTACAGTTTCTCGTGGCTGCCTGCTTTCCTTGGCTCCTGGCCCTGCATCACTGTGACCTCTGCTTTTCCTGTCATGTCTCCTGCTCTGACTCTGCCCTTCCTGCCTGCCTTTTATAAGCACCCTTGTGATTACATTGGGTCCACCGAGATAATCCAGGATAATCTCCCCATCTCAATATCCTTAATTTAATCCCGTCTGCAAAGTCTCTTTTGCCACATAAGGTAACATATTCACAGGTTCTGGGGATTAGGACATGGGCATCTTTGGGGGCCATTATACTGCCTAGTACAGACAGTAACAGGATCATATTTTCCCTCTAGGTTGTCAGAAATTTGCATCTCCAGCATCAATTCGCCTTATTCAGGATGGATAAATCCATGTTTACTTATACATAAAATAGTTTGTTTCCCTTTCTGCCTCCTCTCATCCCATACAGAAGTGTTTTTTGGTTTGTTCATACACATTAATCCATGCTTTCCTCTTGCTCGTTTTAGTTGTCCTTTTCTGGACTCTAATTCTATTCTTATCTTTCTTTCCTTTCAAAATTGTTTCTTTTTTTCATTATAAAGGTAGTACCTGCTCACTATAGAAAAATTGGGTAACAGCAAAGTAGAAAACTAGTGAAAAATATCACCTCTAATTCCCCAATCCCCAAACATTCAGTTAACATTTTGAGTGAATTTCTTTCCAGTCTTTTCTCCATGCATATTTTTTTGGAGAGGGTTTAGTTTCTCTGAGTAGAGTAATTGTGTTATCTATGAATTTAATTTTGTATCATTTGTTTGTTTGTTTTACACTACAGCAGAAGTAAAAGTTCTGAGTCTGGTAGATTCACTGTTGTTTGCCAGAAGATAGTATATTAGTTTTTCTTTCTCCCTCGTACACGATTTGATAATGTCCTAATACTTGTTGACATTTTTGTCTGCTGCAGAGCATTGGACCAATGTACTCAGGAAATTGTCTGTGTTAACAACAAGGTCTCTTTCTGACTTTTAACTGTAACCAAGAGTTCAACATGCACTAAATACAATTTGGATTATTTCTTTTTTTTTTATATTAACCCTTTCACCAGCAGTATATGAGAGTTCCAACTTCTGCACATCCTTGTCTTCACTTGGTGTTGTCAGTCTTATTTCTTTTAGCCATTCTGGTGGATGGCTAGTGGTATCCCATTGTGTTTCAATTGCATTCCCCTAATGATTAATGTAAGGAGCCCTGGAGGTGCAGTGGTTAAAGGGATCGACTGCTAACCAAAAGGTCAGCGGTTGGAAACCAGCAGCAGCTCTGTGGGAGAAAGGTGTGGCAGCCTACTTCCGTAGAGATTTACAACCTTGGAAACCCTGTGGGGTCGCTGTGAGTCAGAATTGACTTGATGGCAGTGGGTTTTTTTTTTCCATACTGAAAATCACTTGCCAGATTTTTATCTATTAATGCTGTAAAATTCCACAAATATTTAGTGAGCATGTACTATTAAACAAAGATGTATTTGACAGTCCCTGTTTAAAGAGCTTACTTATGTAGTACAAAGGCTATAAAGCAAGGTACACTAAGTGTAGAAAGACATGCAAAGGACTATTTAGGCTGTGTTGCAATTTATCCCAATTCATTATCTGCAGCCTTGCCTCATCTCTTTTTATTTTATTTATTTTCTTAGTTTCTGATCCTCAGCCCCTATTACAGGGTTATGACTGGAATCTTTTCTACTAAGCACTCTGGGAGATGGGGTGGTGGGTAGGGGATGAGGTACCTTCAGTATGGACTTTAGTATCAACACTGGCTTTGACCCCGGACTTGGCCAGAATCGCAGAGCGGGCATAGTGTGTGGTCACTAAACATTTGGTACTGAAACCTCTCCCATCCTATCCACAATTCTTTTTTTTTCAATTTTCAGATTTCATCTTTTTAATTGGCTCTGTGAAGGACATCCTAAATGCTACTGAAATACAACAGAATATCTTTTCTTCCAGTATTAAGAAAAAATGACATTCACAAACATTTTTAAGCTCTTCTATATAATCAGGGTGGTAATATCATAATGTAGAGTAAAAAAACACCTCTAAGAAATTATATTCTTGATGCAGATTTCTTGTAGGTATTTTCAGAAATTGTTTTCTAACCATAATAAAGAAACATTGTGTGCAAAATTTTTAAATGTCCCTAGATACTCATTAATTAAAAAAAAATCAGTCTGACCAAAGCTTTTGGCCAGAATAATCCTGAGTGCCTAAACTGAAAAAAAAAAAAAAAA